ATTCGATTGCCGACATTTACGCGATATTTCCCACGACGAAATCTCGGAAATGGCGAATCGACCGCTGCCTTCTACACGATCTCGACTCGGCTCCGACATGAGACGAGATCGACGACGATTTTTCGGACCGTCCGATTACGAAGCAACGACTAAATCTCTTATTTATTTCTTTATTTTCTCGATAAATATATAGAAAAAGGGTACACTTCACCGATTTTTTTTCATTTTGAAATATGTTATAAAGGATGAAATTCTGAGTGACTTTTCCTAATACAATTATATGGGGGTCCGCTCACAATTTCTGAGATATTTGACTTTAAAGTTTTATAATTGTACGTTGAAGTATATTTGAAGTAGACAAGCAGTTTTCATTCACTTTGAATGTAGGAAACAGTACATATAAGCGGGGGAGGGGCGAAGCCCCCAAACAAATCCTAACCTGACCTAACTTAACCTAACCTAACTATTGCGTCTTTATATATTTTTGGACATTGTTGAAAAAAGTTCTCTTAAGATCTATCACCTGGCTCAACTTAATTTATTATAATGTCTGCATATAATTAGGTGTTGTGGCTTTTAAGGAGATCTTTTCAACATCGCCTAACAGCTTGTGTATTGTTTCATACATGTTTCTACATGTATTGTTTCCTATACTTCTATATATACACTACGTTTGTATTAACTGTTTGGATTATACTGTAAATAACGTCAGCTTATGGTATCTGGAATTTAATTCCAGGATAATCAAAATTCCAAAACTTAAAAATCAAATATCTCGGAAACTATAAGCGACCCCCGTATAGTTGTATCAGGAAGTTACTCAGAATTTCATCCTTTATAACATATTTCAAAATGAAAAAAATCAGTGAGATGCACCCTTTTCTATATATTTATCATTTTCTCACTCGACGAGAGAAGCCCTATGGGAAAATAATTAACGACACAAGAGTACGACTTGATAGCTGCGAATCGGTATCTGGTGCATGTCGCGTCCAAATCGAGTCGATTCGACTTGAATATAAGCCGAATAACGATTGGAGCTGATCGACAGGCCGCGTAACATCTGGCAAATATCGCGAAGAAATGTCGGAAATGTCAAGTTGATTTCCGCGCGCGCGCATAATCTCACTTTGATTTCGCCTGAATTCTTCGTCGAGCCGGGCTGACTGACGATGGAAATGGAGATCCTTATTCTCTCTCCGCGGGAACTCGAGTCTCCGAAAGTGGAGCAGAGTTCCGGGCCGAAATTTCTGCCCGCTCTCGACGCGGTGGACGTTGACAAAAGTGAGGCGCACAGAAATGCGCATAGAAACGGGCCGGATTAGCGCGGCGAACGGGACCGTAACGGCACATTAAACCGACGTGGGTTGCGTCCGTAGTCGAGCGCGCCGTTACGTTTTACGAACCGATGAATTTTTCATTAATACTCCCTCGCTCTCGCGGATTTTAGAAGGAATTTTATATCACCCCCCCACGCGCGCGCGCGCCGATCAAAATGCGCTCCGTGCGCGACGGATGATTCCTCCGCCTTCTTTCTCGCTGCACGCACGAGAACGACGGCGTCGTTAACGCGCTCGAACGCGGCGGAACCGTAACGGGAATTGTGCGAGCAACACTTCTCTCGGGCCGCGGATCGCCGCCGTGTGTAAACAAACGTTTCCGGCAAGCCGATCTCGTCTCCATGAAATAAACATCAGCGGTCACGAGAGCCGAGCGTTACAGGTCACGGCAGATACACACAGCGCGCGGTGTGTGAGAAAAAAGGAAAAGGAGGAAGAAGCGGGCGGAGGAAGAGTCGGCTCACTTCTCCGGGAGCGTAATGAGGATCGCGATATCAGAGTTTCGCGAATCTTTCATCATCTCTGTCTATGCGGTGGATGGAATAAAAGTGTCTGGCCGGCTCGCCTCGTTACGATCCCTTTCATGCGAGCGCAACGGGGCATTGTTATCGCGTCCGACGATGGTAGAAATTAGATCCGCGCGGAACAATGCTCAAACTTGCACGAAAAGTTTCGTTGCGCGATCCCTGATAAACTTTTCGGCGCTCTTCCCCTCGGAGGCGCCGAGGCCGCTCTCGTCGGCCGGCCAAATATGACACGCTAATTACGCGCTAAGCGCGAATATATAGGGTGTTGAAAAAAGAGTTCAGGACTCACCAAATGGAGGAAAAAGGTCCTCATAAGTACGGACTGAAAGATTAACTTTTAAAATTCAAAACAATTTAATAAGCAATTGTTCACAACTTGGACAATATTAATTTTCCGACCCATATTTATTAGGACTCTTCTCCTCCACATTCTGTGGGTACTATTTGTCCTTAAAGTCCTGTTTCTTAAACATCCTATGTATAAGAACGGGAGTAAAAATTCAGCCCAAGTGAAGATAGCGGAATCCCGCTTTTTTCGAAAGTCGCTACTACTCTGCGATTCAGAGCGGAAGAATTCACTCGAAAGCAGCGAAGAGTCGCTCGACTCGGCCGTCATCTTCCAGGCCTCCAGGATATTCGGAAAACGCGGCAGCGAGCGAAAGCGGAGAGCGTTGATGACGCCTCATGTAATCGCGGATTGCCGCGTTAACAAAGCAGCGGCTTTAGCGGCTCTATTGCATCTCGCTGTCGGACAGATGAGCCTTCCGGTAGATTGAAGGCTGACGATCATCCAAAGGCACGTTCGGCGCGTCTGTGGCCTACCGGAAATGCCGAGGCCAATAGGCATGCACCTGACGATACCTGGCGATACCTCTCGCCGTTGGCACGGCAGCGGAGCTTTCGGTGCGATAAACGGTGCAACTTTTCACACGCGCACAGACACGCTCGGCGAGTGATCCTTTTCTCGGGGGGCATTTCTCTCCGCGGATTATGACTATCCTAGCTGGAATGTCAGGAGGCCGGCCTTCCATGAAAATGCAAACGGTCTCGCCTCTCTTACCCGTATATGGCCAATAAATGCAGCGCGACGTCATTGGACGTAAAAAAAAGAACGGGGAGAGAGAGAGAGAGAGAGAGAGAGGTCTCACGGGACAAAGTCTCTAATGGGGTCGCGCGCGCGTTTAATGTCATTTTTATGTGCGGCGAGAAAACGACGTGCCTTCGAAATCGCGGCCCCGGTGCACGAGCGACGGCAGTTCTCGCATCGCGCAGACTTCGCGTCTGTCATGATTCTATCGTGTAATCTGAGGTCGCGCCGAGGGATTCTCCGTGGCGATAATTGACGGCGCGGAGGCGTTATCCGGCTGCCTGGTTAATTACGCAAGGCGGGAGATGGGTGATGCGGTTGAAGCGGAAAAGGGGCGCCCGCGAATCCCCGTTCCTTCCCGAGCGTTCAGTCCGCCGCGCAAGAATTCCAGCGCGGCTTCGCCGCTCAGCTACGTCGTCGACTGCCGGCCCGAAATATCCAGCGCGATACTCGGATAAATTGAAGCCACTCTCGACTGGATAATTAATGCAATCGACATGAGCGTGCGTTTCGTTGACGTTATCGGAGGAAACGCAGCCGCCGCGTAATTTCAACGAGATATACTCGCCGGGCCCGAACATCGGCGCATTACGGCTAACAACCTGCCGTGTGTGTGTGTGTGTGTGCGTGCGCGTTTTGCGTTTGTGTGTCATTTTGGAAATCCGGCAGCGAGTTCCTCACGCGCGCACGACGGGTCAAATACGCGTCGATAAATCGCGCCCAGCGAATTCCGGCGGGCGCACACACGCGCACCCAAGATTTCATCGCTCTAATTAAACGCTCACGTCAACCTAGCCGAACGCGAGGCAATATCGCGTCGTCAAGATCCACGCAATGCGCGTCCGATCGGTCTGCTCGGCCGCGACCTTTCACCCTCGCGGATTAATCAAGGCGAGCGGAAGCAAGGTGAAAAACGGGCGATCGGCACAATTTTTTCAACATTCACCTTATATCATCTGCAGAGGCAGGAGAGAGAAGAGAGCCAAATGCATCGGAGCGAATCGGCCGATTCGCGATTCGTCGTGATAATTGCGCAATTTCTCCGGACGGTCTCGATACGCTCGAGCGGCTCGCGCGGCGATCCAACGGCTCTCTCTCTCTCTCTCTCTCTCTCTCTCTTCTCTCGTCAGTGCGCACGCAGCCTGTCGTCCGTTTATCTAATCTGTTGAAAGAGAGAAAGAGAGAGAGAGAGAGAGAGAGAGAGAGAGAGAGAGAGAGAGAGAGAGAGAGAGAGGTGGTGGTAGACGAGCTGGCTTCTGTGGGGCACGTCGTCTGCCAAAAGACCAGCCAGTCGGTCGGTCCCTGTCGTTCTCTTTCACTCTTTCTACCTGGAACAACGCAGCATGGCGATCGTTGCTTGGAGGGGACAGACGAGGCAGCTGTTTGCTCACCATGGAACGGATCAGGAGGGTCGCGCTCCATGTGTACTCGCCAGTAATGCCGCATCGGTTGCGCTCACAACTCCGTTGGAACGTTGCAGCGTGCTCGCGCGACTCCCGGGGATCGGCCGCAGCGGCGGATTTCCGCGCGATACCAGGAGAAAATCCGGAAGGAAGGAAAATCGCGCAAAGTCTCGCCGTGCCGGAAGATCACCGTCTCGGGAGCGAGTGTGTTTGTGTTGTGTCGGTAAATCGGCGGGAAAGTCTCGGGTCGTGCGGAGATCCGGCCGCTGGAAGATCGATGCTCTCGGCTCTCCTCTCGTGAGCGGGATTGCGAAAACACAACGTGGAACAACGCGGAGTCTCGAGGAGACTCGCTAGCGAGCGACGGGCCCATCGAGCGAGATCGGCGATTAATGGCCGAAGGGAGCTCGAAGGGAGTACGTGCAGCCTCCGTAATATCCGAGTGATGGACGCCCGTCGGCAGACGAGACAGCCCGAGGCCGGTTTTCGACGACGGAGGACCCTGGGAGACTCGGGGGAGCCGAAGACTCTCCAGAAACGACCATGTCCTCGTGCTCGTGCCTGGACGCGCGGCTGCCGAAGTCGCGCGTAGAAACGGACGGGGGGGGGGGAATTTGCCGCTTTCTGTGATAGCTAGGTACAGAACAAGGCCTCGCCTTTGTGCCCACGCTGCGACTTTTCTCTCGGAAAGCACGACGGGAGGCCACGGCTTGAAAAGAAGTGGCCGAAGGCATTCGGGAACGGCGGTGAACGGTGAAGCCGAGAGACGCGACGACACGGCCTTGCGCGAGCTCGGCCTCGCGATTTCGTTGCATAACCACGCGAGCCGACACGGTTCTCTCCGGCCATCCCAATTGCCGCTAATTCGAGTGACGAGCGAGATTTCGCGGCTCCGCTCGACGAGACGACGCGCTCTCGTACTTTCTCGCGGAATCTGTGGGAGATGACATGGGAAGCTTCCACGGCGACGAGTTCTTCGGCGGAAACTCGACCGCGATTGCCCGGGAATCGCCCGGGAGCGACTCGTCGTCGCTGAAGAACCGGCGAGTCGAAACAGCGCGCGGGCCGGAAAGGACGTAGATTGCCGCTTATCGCCATAAGCGACAAACGCAGCAAGATAACGTCCTGCGAAAGGATGGGCGAAGTAACAAAATTCTCGAGCTCATACGAACGCTCATACTCGCCGAATGTTTTTCCCGAGGGAATCCATCGACCCGGCCGCGGCGCGGCGCGCGCGCTGACGATCGCGCGACCTCGTCTTTTCCCCGCGAGGAAGAGGGAGGGGGGCACAGGGCACATTGTCAGGATGATTAATACAATGGTCGTCGAGGCAGGAAATGTCCAATAGCCGCGGTTGTTCTTTCCGCTCTCTCCTTATCTCGCGCTTCTTCTCCGCCGCCCGTGCTCGAGTCGCGTCCCTTCGACGACAAGTCGGCGGCACGTTGATTGCTGCCCGTAGGACCCGCTCTCTCCCTCCAATCGCAAACTGCAACTATTCACTTGGTCTGGACTATAATTAGCCCATTATCGTCCCGTCGGCCAGTAATTCCCTCGTTAACTTCTAATGAGCTGCAATCTGTATTTCGAGCGGCCACTTTGCCGCCCCCCCCCCCGCCCCCTCCGGCGCCGCCGCTACCGATCGATTCGAGAGAGCGGGCTCTCGAGTGTTCGCGCTTTCGCGAGCAACCGCGACCCGCGCGTGAAAAGTCCCTTCTCCCGCGATGCCGATCGCGGCTTCGTGCCGCGAGAAAATAGCGTCGATGAATTTTCTGCCGGCGAAAGCGAAACGCACCCACGACACGCAGCGTGTTTCTTCTCTTTTCTCCTCGAATGGAAATCTCCAGCTCCAACTCTCGCTTCCAAGCACGGATGCTGCCGCGCGCGCGGCCGCCTCTCTCCTTCTCGCAGCCTTCTCTCTCTCTCTCTCTCTCTCTCTCCTATGTATGCCTCTCTCTTTTTGTCCGCTAATTGGAGAGTTTGTGTTTCGTATCGATTCTCCGTATCCGTTGAGCGCTGATAAGGGCCGGATCTCGGGCCGAAGCGATTGTCGAGAGTCGTTAACACGTTCATTTCAGCGTTCGCCAGTTTTGCAGGCTTTTGTCTTCATCGATCCTGCCTTCTCTTCCCCGACAATCGCGAGTGGAATTTCGCCGTCGATATCTCCCGCTTGTTTCGGATAATTCTCGAGGTCGGAGAGAGACCTCGCACTTTGGTCGTCGTCGTCGGGACGGGAACAATCGTCCGTTCGCTGAGATCGTTACGCGTCGATATTTCATATCGGCCGGGCCGCGAGCGATCTTGTCATTGATCTTGGGGCGCACTTTGAGATCATCAAGATCTTAACGACTAACGGACGAGGGCAATAAATTTGATTGGGCTGGCAAATTGTCGGCCGTCCCGAGGAGGAAGAGGCGACGCTCGCTCCACTTCTTCGTAATGGCCAATTGTCGCGCGACGGAATCACCCGAGTGCGTGTCCCAAGTAAACAATAGAATCGCTCGCAGAGAGACTGCTTCGTCTGTCTCTCTTTCTCTCGTCGTCGACGCGCTCGCGCTAATTCCCTCTCATTGCTTTAACCCTCTTCCGCTTGCCCGTTGCCTCGCGTAAATATTTAGCGGTCAAGTCTCTCACCGCGAGAGAAACCGAGACGCGTGTCGACGGGATATTCTCTCGCCCCGACCGGGGCTCCACGAGTCACCGCGAACGAGTTTATGATCGCGTTAAGGAAATCAACACTCTGGAAGTGCAACAATAATATGCCCGTCGTGCAGTCCGAGGGAGAAGTCGCATTGGGACACTCCAGCAGACGGTCGTGTCGATTATTTCTCTCTCTTCCAGCCAAAGAATCGCTTTAAGGATTTACGAGAGTCTCCGAGTTCGCAGTTTTATTCTACCAAAGAACGAGAGAGAGCGAGAGAGAGAGAGAGAGAGAGAGAGAGAGAGGAAGAGAGAGAGGAAGAGAGAGATGTAAACGGTGCTTTAGCAGCGTCGATCATTGAAAGCAAAACGAGCGAGGACTCGAGTCACGTTCGACCTCTCCAGATGAAATTTCGCAAAACCTCGTCATCCAGCCCGAAGATGGAATTACTCTCGAGGCGTTCCTCGGGCGGCAGGATCTCCACCTTGAAGAGGTCGAGGTCCTTCCGAGCGTCCGTGAAGCTCATGTCCAAGATACGCAATCACGCCAGTCTGCGACTGGCCGTCGGCTTCGAGCTGTCGCCCAGCTCGAAGAACCCCGCGAAGAAGGAACGCAACCTGTGCGTCCTCGAGGATTCTCGGCACGAGAAAGCCGAAAATCCGCAAAATTCGCGCGTCGACGGCACGATCGACCGCAAGGACGACGACGACGAGTCGCGTCCTCGAAAGGCCTCGGTGTCGGCGAGCGACGACGCGCGAACCATCGCGAAGGACCTGAAGAGCAAATTGTCCCTGACCGACAGGATAATGGGCAGAGGTCGCAAAGACGCGGACAAGTCGTCCGTGAAGGACGAGAGCGTCAAGTCGCCAAAGGTCATTCGCATCTTTCGCAGGAGGCACAGTGCAGAAAGTTCGCGGGAGAGCAAGAATCACGACGGCAAACGCGTGTCCTGCGAGCAGGACGCGGCTCAGCAGAGCCAACCAGCGTCCTACGAGAACCCCGTGTTCCTAGCGGACAGCTCGCTAGACTCCTCCGTCTCAAGTTTCCTCTTCGAGGTCGGCGAAGAGGCGCTGGAGGACCAAGAGGAGAGCAAGGAGCAGGATCGCGATGGTGGCCGCAACGTGCTGACCGTCATCGTCGATTCTCATCGAGAGGCGATTAAGCAGCCTCGATTCGGCCGCAAAGCTAGCTGCGAGCACGAGGAGCATGTCGAGGAGGACGCGGCGTTCCGTCGCAGGTGCGAGACCGATCCGTCGCGGTGTCCCTGCAAAGCGAGGAACGGCGAGCGGCAGGAGCGGGCGAGCGCGAGCAGCGGTTACCGCAGGATCGCCGAGTCCTTTAGCGGCTTTGACCGCTCGCGGTCGCGGCTCTCCAAGTCTCACTGTAAGACGACGCACGAGACGTACGCGGCAAAGGGTGACAAAGCCAGCTGGCTGCAGGATCAAGGGAGGTCCCTTGACAATGTCAAGAGAACCGCCGCCGCCTGTCCGCCCTCCAAGTCCTGTGGGATCAGGACGGTCGATAACATTGCGAGCTTTTGGACGAGCGGTAGCTTTCGCAACAAAATGGCGACCGGTAAGAAACTCGGAGGAAGGAGGACGCGAGGGATTACGCGGGCGGTTCGGGGGGCGGGTTCTCGTGTCGACATCATCGGGATCAAGTACGCAGGATCGATAAGTTTCTAATTAGTCGGCGGCGCGCCAATTAAGTAGTTCCTAGGAAGTTGGCTTCGTGTTTCCGCTGCGAATTATCGTTTTAGCTCGTCTTATCGACGTTGCGACGAGGAAAAGAACTCGCGGAAGAGTGAGAGGGACAGGGAGATCGATCGATAAAGCGGAAGCTCTGCTTGTTACTTTTGTCCATCTCCTCATCTTCTTTTTCTCTTTATCTTTCTGATAATGAGATAAATAATTATCCGGGGCAGGGAGAAAGAAAGTAGGAGTTTGCTGCGGCGAAATAAAAATGGCGAACCGCAGCAGGCGATGTTGGAAAAGCACATCGCGTTGTAAAAGCTCTGCCTTCTGTGCGAAAGCACTTTTGCGTAGAATGCACCATGCAGTCATTTGCGGCGCGCACAGGATATTTCAAGAGAAAGAGAGAGAGAGAGAGAGAGAGAGAGAGAGAGAGAGAGAGAGAGAGAGAGAGAGAGAGAGATATAATCCGTAGAGTTTGCTCGTAATTTTTCTCTCTCTTCTCCAATGACAGGGTTTCTCTCGATAGGTCTTGAAGAGACTTCAAATGAAGTTTCGTTTCGCGCAGATTTCAGTCGCATGGTCTGAAAAGTGAATCATATGTATATAATAAATAATATTCCAGGATAATCGCGAGGATCTCATTAATCGCGGGAATCGAATTTCCCGGCGATCCGCGCTTCCGCGTGGCTTTAATTTCTTTCCCGTTTCGCTTCTCGTCGTTTATTTGCCTCTCTTCAGCCCTTTCTATTTTTGTTCTCGTTCGCACAGAGTTACACTCGTTGCAAGGGATGGAGTTCCTGGAGGGCTTCGGCAAGAGGAAACAGCAGCCCCACCAACAACAACTGAATAACGTGTCGTCGATACACATCAATCCTCTCTCGGCCCAGTCCCTCAACATTCACCTGCATGGTATCTTGAGTTTTGTATTTTGTTTTCCTTTTTCCTCGCGCGGAATCGCGCGACTTTCATTTCTTTCTTCGGTTCGCCTTTGATCAGTCCCCCCTGTCAAACTTGCTTCGCAATTTGCACCGCGAATTCGCGGTGAACTCCCCCGACGACGACGAAACGTAAACACAAAGACGTATCAATGAAGACTAATTTCGGCGTCGTCGTCGTTTTACTTTCAGCTCTATTCGCGGCTGTGGAACATGGTCACCTGGATAAAGCGAGAACCATTCTGGAGTCCACCGACGTGGACGTGAATAGGTGAGTCCGTTGTTCCCTTGGCCGTTACTCCTTGGCCACGTGTGTGTGTGTGTGTGTGTGTGTGTGTGTGTGTGTGTGTGTGTGTGTGTGTGTGTGTGTGTGTGTGTGTGTGTGTGTGTGTGTGTGTGTGTGTGTGTGTGCAGTTTCGGGCGACGCGAGACTCGCCGTCGAAAATAAAAGACCGACCGGTTAAATATTTACGTATCGCTTCGCTAATCCGAACGTACGAATTGGCATCGCCACGTGCGCGACGATGCGGATGAAATATTCATCGTTTGTCTACTACTCGTCGCGAGACTTTCGCTCGAAGGATCGCGCTGTTTTCCCTCGCAGAAGCACACGCGCGACCTACAAGCGCCGCTCGAGATACGCGTTACTCGGGCGCGGGGAGCTTTAATCGAACATACGACCAGGAACTTTCGAAGAAGCTATAGAAACAGTCAATCGCGCCATTAGGAATTGTTCGACCGATGCAGAAGCAATATCTTGATTCGACTCGACTCGAGCGAATCTTCAGGGATCCCGAGACAGAGAGAGAGAGAGAGAGAGAGAGAGAGAGAGAAAGAGGGAGATGTAGGTCGGCCATGTCGCAAAGAATAATTGCTTGAACCGAGCACGAGCTTGCAGTCCGGTCTCAGCCTGCAAGCTTTGCGTCTGTAACCCGTAAGGAATTCGAAAACTATTGCGGGCGGAGCATCGAGCGCACAAGAACGAAAGTTCGGAAAGTGAAAGAGAGGAATCGGAACAATTTTCCCATACTTGGCCCGGGATGTCGCTCTTTTTTGCCGCTTGCCAAGATGCTTCCTGCGCGCAACGCGCGCAAACGCGCCGGAACGCTCGAAATTGCCAGCGCGCGCTCGCGCTCGCCTTTGGTGCCGCTCGATTTTCGATTCCGGCTGTTTCACCGTGGCCTGCCGGACCGTACCGTATTGTTCTCGACGTGCGAAAATGCGTCGCGCATTTTCACAAACGGGAGAAGCCTCTTGGAAGCGGCGAGGCGTGCTTCGCTCGCGCTTTAACGCTCCTGCAAGTTTTTCACAGCCGGCCGCGCGTGGTAATCGCGGAAAATACGCGCTCGTTCCCGTTTCCGCCGTGCGATCGTCGCCGATTTGTCGCCCGGGGATATACACTGCTCAAAAGAATTATGGCATAGATAATTTATTGCCGAAAATTGGCCAACTTTGACTGGCGATTATTTCGCGAAAAATTATTGTAGACTAATGATTTTTTTTTCAAAATGAAGCTTGAAGTCTCTACTTTAAGAATGTATCTCTCTATTTTTGCATGCGATGCATGCAACCTACCCCTGTAACCCCTGACATCTGAGGGCATGTTTGGTATACTGAAAATTGCAAAGTTTGACGGAATGCATGGACGTGGACAATTTTTTTTCAGGGACGCTGTTTGCATCGTCATAAAGTTCAAATTTTCCCCTTCAATTTGAAAGAAAATGCAGTTGCTACAATTTTTTTTCGCAAAGTTACAGCCCTTCAAAAATATCGTTGTTTTTTACCTTCGGGCCAAGTAACGGTCGGCGAATTAAATGACTGGAAATCATAGTGGAGCAACGGCAAAAGTGTTTCTTGACATACGCACGCAAGCACGCGCGCATGTTTTTCAGCTCCTGTCCCGTGTTTTGACCATAGCCAACATTCCTAGCATCGGCAAACAAATTCTCTCCGTATTCTCGGCTAACAACCGGCTCGAGTAACAAACGGCTCCGTACGATATTTTTGAAGGGCTGTAACTTTGCGAAAAAGAATTGTAGCGACTCCATTTCTTCTTCAAATTGAAGGGGAAGATTTGAACTTTATGACGATGCAAACGGCGTCCTCGAAAAACAATTGTCCACGTCCGTGCATTCCGTCAAACTTTGCAATTTTCAATATGCCAAATATGCCCTCAAATGTCAGAGGTTACAGGAGTAGGGGTTTTGCATCGCATGCAAAAATGGAGATACATTCTTAAAGTAGAGACTTCAAGCTTCATTTTGAAAAGAAAAATCATTAGTTTGTAATAATTTTTCGCGAAGTAATCGCCAGCCAAAGTTGGTCAATTTTCGGCAATAAATTATCTATACCATAATTCTTTTGAGCAGTGTATAATACGCCGCAAACCTTCTTGTTTGCGATTACGCGATGTCCCGCTGCTAAACCGGCCGGACGCGTCAACCGGTGCGCGTAAACGAATTTCACGCAAAACATTTCATCGCGCTGCTCCGCGCGGCGGGAGATGGCCCGATTGATCACTGCGATGCGAAGAGTAAATCTGGATATACGCACATCGTATTACTAATATTTCCCTGTCACTCCGCCCTCTCGTTCTCGTTTTATAGCTTAATATCGTGTTACCGCGTTTACTGCACAATTTTGCAGTTGCAGTGCGAAAGGAATAAAATAACACGCCCGAAGGGGAATATAAAGTCTAGAGCGTGGAACAAAAAAGCATCGTTCCCATTCTGTTCCGCGCTAATAAAGCGCACGCGCGGTTTGCACATCTCCACGCGCCGAAACTGCGTGTTTCGAGTTAATTCCGAAATATGCAACCATTAAGGTGGAAAATTGCCGCGAAATCCGAAACGGCCGATGGGCAACCGGAGATAAAAAGTTTGCGAAAGTACCCCGTTACGAGCGAGAAAAGTCAATAGTAACACGCAGACGGAAACTCATTTAGCCGCTATTTATCACGATCGTTTTACATCGTTAATGTTTCTTCCGTCGCCTTGTTTGCGCGTCGGAGTCGCGCTCGCCCGACTCTGGAAGTAATTAAATGTTTCTTCAGCGAATCTCTTTAGCTCGCGACTTTCCGCACGGTCAGGGGAGCGCGATTTTTCCATCCCGTAGAAGTGAAATACGCGAAATGAAATTGGGAGTGGTGGTGGGAGATGTCACGACAGGGATTTATAATTCGGGGACGAGCCCCATTTCGTCGGATCCTTATCGACCTCCCGGAATCCAGCGTAAACAACAACCGGAAAGTTTCGCGGAGCCTTTCCGTCCGATAGGAATGTCGCGGCCAGACGTGACGCAAACGGCAGGAAGCCCGATGACGCGGTTTTTCGCCACGGTTCCATGTAGCCTTCGCGAAACCGAGAAGGCGTGAAATGAACTTACGTATAAGCTTAAACGTTACCCGCAAGATACTGATCGTACGGCCGCGAGAAAGCGTCGCGCTGAGACAATGTCATAAAGCTGACAGCGGAAAGTCGCGCGAGATACTTGGCTGTGAGCGCTTTAATTAAATTGGTCCCTTTAACTGAGCCTGTAAACGATAAAGAGCGACAAAAGAAATTGCATTTGCAACGTGCTTTATCTCTCTCTCTCTCTCTCTCTCTCTCTCTCTCTCTCTCTCTCTCTCTCTCTCTCTCTCTTCTCTCTATCTCTCTCTTTCACTTGCAGCGTTAACAGCGACGGCTTGTCACCGTTGGACGTCGCCGTGCTGAGCAACAACAGGCCGTTGGCAAAAATGCTGGTAGCGTTCGGCGCGCAGGAGGGAAACCAATGTAAGTACAATCAAATCCAATTACAACTTCACACGCGCGGCGTAGCGCGGCAACTTCGTTACCAGTCCCGTCGCGACGAATCCCGTTGATCCCAGCGCGCCGCGCGAAATTCGCTTTTCCATTTTCCGCTCTCTCTCTCTCTCTCTCTCTCTCGCTCTCGCTCTCTCTCTCTCTCCCCGGCCCCGTCTCCGGGCGTGCGAAAAAGTCCAAGGAAATCGCCGGACCGTAGGAGATTCCAATTAGGATTCCGCAGTCTCTAATAAAAATGCCGTCGAGCTTTATTACGTTTCGACGAGAGGCGAGTAAAAATAGAACGCGAGCGGAACGTGCAAGGAGGAAAGGGGCAAGAGCGTTTCTCGCGGCCCTTTTTACGATGTTTTTAATTATAACGCTTTGGTCCCCGCTCTCTCGATACGTCAAACCCAGGCGCAATTACTTTGCGGTCGGCGCGGCGCCGCGAACATCGAGATCTGATCGCGTCGCGTATTAATCTGCGTATAGCGCGGATTGCGAGCGAGAAAGCGGGAATCCGTGCATGTTGTCGACTGTCGCGACGATTCTCGTCGCGATCGTTACAGCGATCGTGACGTCAGGTGTCGCGGGATCGCAAGGAACTTGCAAGTCGCGCACAGAAGTGCGAGAAGTACAAGAGTTTCGGGCGAGGGCGTTTTCCTCGATACGTCGCGCGCACGCGAAAAGTCAGAGTTATCAAGCCAACGACTCGACGAAAGTTTCTCGCGCCTTAATTTGTCTCGTCACGCTCGTTAGTGCTTTGGTGACGACCGTCATTAGGACACCGATCCTTCAGATGAAATATGGAGTAGGTGGAAAAAGAGAGAGAGAGAGAGACATTTATCAAACTAATTTCTCTCGGAGGTGTCCAACGAGCGAATTTTTACAAATGTCGGGCAAAAATGTCGGGGGATTCGCACATCTCACGGCGACTTGACAAATGTTTTCAGGAAATCGATTGGACGTCCCCCCCCCCCCCGCTGCTCTGCTTCTAATCAAGAAGCCTCGTGTGCGCGATTTCGAAACGAATGCTCTCGATTGAGTGTCGCCAATTCCGATGGATTTTGCAGCTGAGAATTAATTTGCAACTGACAATATAATTAGCATTCGGTATAAACTGTAATTTATACGCTCTCGATTATAATTTGTAATTAATAATGTACAGTAAGACAGCGCTCGATTCTGCCGAGCGACGCGCGCGTTTGCGTCAAAATTCACGAGAGAATCGTAGTCGCCAGGTTGTAACAACCGAGAGCCGAGAGAGAGAGAGAGAGAGAGAGTTTCAGCGACGCGATTGTGACGAAAGCAACGTTCGTGAAAACGCGAATGCGTATAATCGAGACGCTGAAGAGTGTAAAGCTTCAAACGAGCTCGCCGGGCGCGCACCTGTCGGACCGCTTAATTATTCATACGTGACATAGTATAATGTATGTGTTGTGAAACGCAACGTTTCATTAACGCAGTCAAGTCCCCGGAATCTTTGGGAAGCCACTTGGCATCGTTGCTCTCGGAAGCGGAACACCGGGTTCAAGAACTCGGCGGCAGCACTTCCGGCAGCGGTGGGACCACTCTGCTGGAACCACCCAGTAGCCATAGGGCCAGTTTTTCCACGCAACACAATAACCTCACAGGATGCGGCGGTAGCACGGAGGACAAGCAGCTTGCCCTGTGGGAGAGGAGAGCCAGAGCTCTGAGAAAAATGCTGCTGGGTTTCGACCAAGCGAGTGAGTGACCACACCGAGCTTATTCGCGTCGGTTCTCATCTCGTCTCGCGCGCGACAATACGACGCGCTCGATTATGCTTATGAATTCACGCGCGGAATTATTCTCCGCGCGTTAATCACGCCAGTAAATTACATCACCGAAATTACATTACCGCTATACGCGCTAAAATACGCGCATGTTCTAAAGCATATTCCTTCGTTCTTTTTCGCCTCAGGACCGCCCGACATGCCTTTTTTGGTCGCGGTCGATGTTACCGGCACGACCTCGGTAACGGTGAGGTTTCAAGAGCCAGACTCGCACGATTCTCCAATCTGCACAAAGTTCAAGGTCCAGTGGAGCCTGCACGACGACTTCTCGGTAGTTTGCGGCGAGAGGGAGGTCTTGGACATGAAGCAGAGGGAGTGTCGCATTGAGGGTCTAACCCAAGGCCAGAGGTATCACTTTCGCGCCGCCGCCGGAAATTTGAAGGGTTACAGCAGATTTAGGAACTCGACACCCGCGCACGTGACACCCAGTAGTGAGTATCACGCGAGTTTGACAAGAGTGCTCTTCACGCTTCACGGACGATCTTATCTCGTGTCTTCTCCCATCCCCCCCCATCCCTATTCGAAGGTTGGAGGGACATTGACGGCAGGGTGCCGAGATTCGCGGGACGATTGGAGCAACTAAACACCCTGTTCACCGACATCAGACGACCAGAGTACACGCAGGAGACGCCGGCGGTGCAAAGGCGGAATCACAAGAAGAAGACGACGATCAAGCAGCTGTTCACGGCGACGAGCAAGTTCCAGAAGAATCTCAGGCGAGGGGTGTTCCTCGCCTGCCTGCTCTACCACGAGGACAAAGTCCTGGTGACCAACGAGGACTTTTTACCCGTCATCGAGGTCGACGAGACGTACCCGAGCTGCATCTACAATGACTTTCATTGGCTCATGAAAGTCGCCTGCACCTGGGACGACGTCAAGTCCCTCCGGCAGGACATGGAAAAGAGCCACAGCAGCTCGACCAACCACTTTAGGATAAAGCTGCTTCAGGCTGCCGCTCAAATGCAGGTAAGTTTGACTGCCGGACTCTCACTCTCGCGTTCGCGAAATTCGACATTCGACTGAAATCTCCCCTCGACGACGCGTCCCCTTGCAGGCCGCGCTGTGCACGCAGGACCTGGGACAATTGTACCACAAGCCCATCAGAGACATTCAAGGTACCCTCGTGTTCTCGACGGTGAATTACGTCAAGTCACCGAAACTGGTCTCCGTACTGAACAGCAGGTGGCTGCCGCTCAGTAAGGTCATCAAGAAGATCATAACGCACGAGGAGAGCAACGTGGCCGATATCCTGATGGCCAGCATACAAGAGCAAATGACATATCACCAGGTGAGCGGCATCAAGCTGTCCAAGGGCCTGTACCTCGGCTACTTGAAGATGCAGAGCAGCGTGGACCTCATCCAGGTCGTCGTACCGACCAAGTCGCCAAACGTCTTACCGCACTGCAAGATCCGCGACAATCCGCACGTGTCCGCGTAAGTAGAAAGATAGAGAGAGAGAGAGAGAGAGAGAGAGAGAGAGAGAGAGAGAAGCTAATCATCGTGACAAGCGAACTTTTCTTTCATCATTCTCTCTTGCGCTACCGTATCCTGACTTTCGTCTCTCTGTGAAGGGAGGAGTGGGACTACCTGAAGAGGGTGACGCGCATTTGCCAGTCCGAGTCTTTTGTGAAAGAGTCGGAAGAGAAGGAGAACGTAACAAACGAATCTCAAGGCACGGAGCAGCAGAAGCTGTTTGTTGACCTGGTCGCCGCGACCGCGCGGCGACTGTTCAACTACATGGAAATCAACCTGGAAGACTCGCTGGTGCATCGGCTGTACGACGCTGAGGTGATCGATCTGACGCACGACGTGTCCTTCCTAATCGCCGTGCCGCCGGCCGAGACCGCCTGCTGCGTGCCCGGCACGCGGGAGATCCTGCTGCAACGCGGGGACCTCCTGTCCTTGCCGATTCAGGTGTTTGAGATGGTGCACCTGAACACCTACCAGAAAGACGTGATCAACCGTTACTCGCGACTCAGCTGCATTCTCGAGCTCGACACGGCGCAGGCCCAGCACAATCACAGAGAGGCCTTCAGCTCGTTGGAACTGAGCGTCGCCAAGGACAAGCTTGCCAGGCTGCAGGATCTCCAGTCGCAGGTCAACACGGTATGGAAAGGTGCCAGGTGGCTGATTGACGTGATCACCTTTGCGAGAGATCGCGGCTCTTCCCAGCAAAACGTAAGTTTGTCACACGCGTTGCGTGGACGTTACGAGCAGATAAAAAAACCTTGTTTGAGAATATAACATTTCCGTCACGCAGGCCACATCGCAGGCGATCGGCATCTGCATGAAGTACTTGCTCAGCCTCGACAGGAACAAAAACAACTGCAGTAGCAGCAGCAGCAACAACAACAGCCTGAAACGGAGTCTGCTGCAACTACCACCTAGAGATCCCAAGCTCGTCAAGTCGAGCCCCGGCCGAGGCAGTTGGCCGGGGCCCAACTTGTCCAACTCGTCGTCCAATCTGCTGACAACGGAATTCAGCAAGAGCGAGCAGCAGCTGCCCAGCGGCCAATACGTGCGCAAAGGCAGCAATACGTCCAACATGTCGACCAGTTCAGAGCCGCAAAAGTCGTGCGCGCCCATGAGCAGCAGCAGTAACCTCACGACCACCGGCAGCGCGAATCACCTGATACCGCTGCAAAACACACGGCTACCACCCTCCAAATCCGAGGACACGCTGATCCTCACAAAGTACAAACACAGCCCGCGAAATCGATCCGCCACCATCACCTCGGCCTCAGCCAGCACTAGCCCGTTGCTGAGCATCAAGCCCATCATCTACGGCGGCTCGTTGCTGAGCGTCTCCACGGCGATGACCAACACCACGAGCCTGATCAGCGTCAGCAACACAAACTCGGACAGTCTGCACTCGCTGAGCAGCGACGAGTACACCACGCCGAACTCCAGCGTCTGCGTACTCAAGTCCGGTCACACGGTCAAGGTGAAGACGTCCAAGCCGACAGTGAGCGTCGCGGCGATGGCCACCGCGTCGCAGGACGCGCAGCTGGACGAGGAGAAGGAAGAGGCGACGATGATGCCGGCGCCTTTGCCGGGCATTCTCCAGGTATACCCATCGATTCTAGCCCTAGTGATTCTAGAAATACGAGTGTTGTCGCTGCGCGGAGTTAGTCTCTCGGAATTGCTTTCGAAAAGAGAAAAGATCCTTTTGCCGAATTCACCGCGCGAGCCTAGAGTACTGAAATGATGTTTTTCACTTGTAGGGAACACAAGTCTAACCCGATTATAATTAGAAACAGCTCACTTGGTCCCCTAGTGCAAACCGATGTAGCAGACATATTGAGTAAGCCGCCACACCGCTAAATTTCAACGCTTGCTCTGCTCGGTTATGCTTTCTAAACATTACACATATACGCTTAGTGTGTCCAAATTAGCGCGGCATGGAAAGATTATCGTCATTGTGATACATTACGTTGTGTAACAGTTGTTGTTTTTTTTTTTCTTTCACCGAGATCAGTCGAGTAACATGCGATGCGCTCTCTGTCATTCAGTCTGACAAGTCACAGCCAGAAGATAATAAAGCGGCAAGGCACAAGTTAACGCGCTGTACAATACTGTTGTTGCGGCTTTCACGTGTTTCGCATTTTTTCTCAGTGTGTGCGTCCATTGCGCAAAGTGTGTCTATGGTACTGCGAGGCTAGAAATGACTAGAAATGAATCGTAGCAAGCAACACAACTTTGAGAGACGTTTTGCAACAGTGGAACGTTCCTTCCTACTTGCCTCCAGAACCTTCCAGACACACGGCGCTTGTGGATAATTGTTCTCGGACTGTTTTCACCAATTACGATTCGCCGATTTTCACTCACTTCTTGCTCCGAATTTTTGCATCTCGCTCATTCGACGCAGGATAGTTTTACGTTTAACCTTTTTTCTCTCTCGTATGTGTAAATTACGCGCGACTGATGGGCAGCCATAAGAGATACGTTCGTTGCGTTGCAGGTTTATGCGGCCTACGAGACTGGTTTAGCGGCCGGCACCAGCCTGAAATTGCACGTAACACCAAGGACCACTGCACGAGAAGTTGTGGATCTCGTCGTCAAACAGTTGAATATGGCGGTGGTGCTGAAGGGTCAAGAGGGGCCTATCTACACGGCCGACGAGCTACCAAACTTTTGTTTAGTTGCCGTAATTGGTGCGCGCGAACGTTGCTTAAGGGACGACTTTAAACCCCTTCAACTGCAGAATCCGTGGAAGAAGGGGCGATTATACGTTAGGCAAAAGCAGGATGTTCTCGCAGCCCTCGAGCACAGTAGTAAGCACACTGCGTACTTATAGCACAAGTAAAGCGGTGTCTGTGTGAATAATATAATCTACATTATCTCTTTCTCTCTCTCTCTCTCTCTCTCTCTTTCTCTTTCTCTTTCATTATTGTAAATGAAACCTCAGCAAGTCTATACGCGTAAACGTCACCGATATATCCTTTGCGCAATCTGCGATCTGGTCGGTCATTTTCAACGGTGCTACCGAGGAAGAGAAATATTTCGCTCGATGGAAAGAGTTTATTCTAGAAAAAAGAAAGATGGTTGTATAAGTCGTGACTTGTACAACTGTGAATCAAGTGTATATTCACGAAATTATTTGACGAGGAAAAAGGGGAAAAATAATCATTGAATAAGCGATATTAGCCGCGTAAGATTTAACGAGCTTCGTAAAAAAAAGATTGATCGCTTGTTAAAATAGACGTTCCGTATTTTACACTTTAACTAAATTTGTTGTCTCCCCATCTCTCTCTCTCTCTCTCTCTCTCTCTCTCTCTCTCTCTCTCTCTCTCTCTCTCTCTCTCTCTCTCTCTCTCTCTCTCTCTCTCTCTCTCTCTCTCTTTCTCTCTCTATCTATCTCTCTTTACGCGAGAAAATTTGGTGCAATTATATTTTACTCCGCTCTCGTCATTATGCAATTGAAATATAAATCCGCGCCTCAAGGGGCCTGGGTTTAGCGGACAGAGCGTTAAAGATACAAAAATACACAAGTAACCAAGTATATAACGATGCTTCTCAATTAGTCGCGGCGACGCAGTAATCTTGATGAGACGTCACGTGATAAGCACCTCTCTGACCGATGAAATAGGGATTTATTCTACCTAGATGATGTGTACATTCCGCGTTTGAAATTTGTGGCTTTACGCGAGCACGGTCTGTAATATTCTTCAAATGTTGTAAAGTTAGTTTGTAAAAAAAAATTATATATATATATATTCGCGCGAGACATACTGTTATATTTTATGTAACGATCTCAATGTTTTATTCGACCCGTGTGTCGTCAAGGATGACACGTCAATAAGATCTCATTGCTCCTCGCATCGCAATTCGTCGTGTCCGAGTATGTAGCGTCGTTGGAAAAACTTTCAAGCTTGAAAGAAGCTTGAAGCTGCAGAGATGAGGATTATTACAGATACAGCCAAGTACTCGGATACCTCGAACCAACAAGGATGATCGTTTTCAAAGTCAGCGAAAGTTTTCTATCTATCTCGTTCAAGTTGCGAAACGCCTGTATAAATAAAGAGGAACATTTGCGTTTTAACGCGGCAACGTTATCACACGATATTACACGCGATACTTTCCGCTTGACTAGATCAGTGTTACCAGGCTCTGGAAAAGCGGATGAGAGACGATTCGGATGTGCGACGTCGAACCGGCGCACACCCGGGAAACATTATTTTCGTTTTCTGATTTCGCGAAGTATATCAACTAGAATAAAACGCGCAAAAGTTCCTAAAGTCTGGTAGCATCGTCCTAAGATGGCTTAGAGAGCAAAAGATATATTTTTTAGGAGAGCGTAAGATATAAAGTTTGAGGAGAAATCTCGTTGACGGAGGGACGACGGCGGGAGGAGAAGAAAATGTAAAGAAATACTCGAGACAGTGGAAAGGCAAATTAGTCTAAGCGTTTGGGAAGCTAAGGCGCGGTAAACCTGAACCAGTTGTGCGGTTAGTTATTAACATATAGTTAAGACGAAGAGGCTTATAGACTGTTGTGTATATAACAGAACAAAGAGTATTATTGATGCTACGATTATTTTTTAGAGATACAATAAATAAGTTATGTATATGTTTCTCCTTTCGACTTGTAACTTTCGTCTCGTACCGAACCGCGCAAGGGAGAACGCATCGTTTGTTTCGCCGCCATTAATCCAGTGCGCTTCGCTTTTCCCTACATTTTTTTTTTTAATAACTGAAAACAATTTCGACGGAACGGCCAGTCTCGAAAGGACCGCATAGAGAAGAAAATATCTAATAAAAAATGCGAAAAAAAAAAAAAGAATCTCTCTATCTCGTAATCTCATAGAAAAAGAATTTTAGCGGAGTTTTCACCACAGTTGACACGTTATCTACCAGGTGTACATATTAGTGTGTCCAATTAGGGAAACCGGCGCTATGGCAGCCGATGTGTTAACCGATCCGAGGTAGGATACACAAGTATCCTAGCGCAAAGTGGTTTACCGAGAGAACACCCCACCGCACAATATTACTGCACAATATTAGTACGCGACGAGGCTCTTCCGAGCATCCGGGGATCCGCGTCGCACGTCTCGTGTTTAATCGAGCGCGCGCAGCGAGGCTAATCTCGCGAGATCAATTACGCAGTATACACGCATGCACACACGTAGCGAGTCGGCTGAAAGGGCAAAGGCCAAAGGGCCAGCCGTATCTCGAGCGAAGCAAACGTCGCGGCTCATACAACAAATCTTTCAGAAGCAACCAGATTTCGCCTCCCCTCCCCCTCCCTATCTGCGCGATATCGCAGATGTCTATCGTGAAATCCGTCCTTCACGTCGCAGACGATTCAATTTCGCCGTGTATTCGGCCACATTCTCGGATATATATATATATATATATATATATATATATATGTATCACGCTTATTGAGCAGTAGTATCGTGCACCGAGGGGCCGCGCACTACCTGCGTTCAAACAGCAAGATCAAACACGGTGCACATATTTTTTTATCCACAAGGTGGCAAAAAGAAACCGACGAATTGTCGCGGGGGGCATCGTGGGTCCCGCTGACTACGTCGCTAGGTAAGTTCGCGTACGCTGCGCTAATTACGCGAAAATCGATGTCGCGAGCGAGGTAACCGCGCGGGGAGAGAGAGAGACGCTCCTCTCCGACTTGAAGCGTAATCAGCCGCACCCGCCGTGCTCCCCGCTATCTTCGCCGCTAGATGCACGTACCGTTTAGGCCTGCCTCGGGGAAGAGGGTAGAAATTCTATTAGCACACTATGTGAATGTCTATCGATGTTGAGTGTAAATTAATCGATTAGTCGTATAAGCAGCAGATGACGACGCGCGCACGGTGATTGCGAGAAACTGTTACATGTAAATATTATACAAAACAGCGAGAGAGAAAGAGCGACTGCACACAGAGGAAACGAGAAACAGAGCACCGGAAGAGAGATTATTTTGGGCGAGAGCAAGGTCTCGTTTCTACGGTCCACCCATCACGATGTAATTAATATATAGCTGTGCCTACGCGACGGCGTTGTGAGTTAATGCTCGACTTTTCAACTCCCTCTCCCCAACTCCCCTGCCCTAGCGAATCGAGAAACGAAACGTACGTGCGAGTACAAGTAAAATTGTATACAGTAGCGAATGTTGGTGTTTGTACAGGAGAAGACGGCTTTGTTTCCGTTGCGAGACTGGGCTCTTCTCCCCCTCTTTTTCGTCGGGGACAATGTACAACGGACACGCACGAGAAATAAAGTGTAACATTGTATTCGTCTCGATTGGACTTTTCGCCACGTCATGCCTTGCCGACGAATATGAATACGTCGAAAGAGACACAGACATCGATGCGGAGACGAGAGAGAGAGAGAGAGAGAGAGAGAGAGAGAGAGGGGGGGACGCTCGCGTCTCTCCGTCTCGTACTTGGAATTTCTATGACCCACCGTTATTTTTCCGCGTCACTATTCGCGTCGGAACTCACACATTCTCCTCTCTCCCTCTCATTTGTTCCCCCATTCGTCTGCCTCTCTCTCTCTCTCTCTCTCTCTCTCTCTCTCTCTCTCTTTCTCTCTCTCTTCTCATCGATACTTTGCTTACGAGTGTCTTTTATTTCCCATTTCCCATTCCCATTTTTCCCGCCTCTTATCGTCTCTCTTCCGCCTATCTTATCGATTCTGATCTCTTCTGAAACAACCTGTACCCAATCCCGCCAGCATCATCACCTCCGGCAAGTCAGACACGCACGCGAAACGAAACGAGAACCCGGACCCTCGCGACCGATAGTCCCGCTGACCCACTTCCGTCTTGTTTCTCGTCTTGCCGTGAGCCACCTACTCTTTATTTACCGCCCCTCACCCCACCCGTTACAATCCCACATCCCGCTCTTATAACGAGCGCGGCGGCCGCGCGGTCACATCGCCGGCTTTCCGTCCGTGCACAATTTTTGCGAACGCGCTCCTGTCTCGCAACGTAAGCCTAACGTTACAAGAAAACTGCAATTGCAGAGAGAGAGAGAGAGAGAGAGAGAGAGAGAGAGAGAGAGAGAGAGAGAGAGAGAGAGAGAGAGAGAGAGAGAGAGAGAATGAAGCCATCGTGGACGTACGGGCTGGGAAACCGCGGACGAGCGCGTTTCCCGCGTCACCCCGGCGGGAAACAAGAGAAAGTTTTCGATAATCTCCGAGGCAGCGGGGCCCGCTGTTGTTGTTTATTACGCGCGGTTGCGACAACACTTAATGACGGTTACTCCGTGTGCGCGCGCGCGCGCTCAGTCGGCTTGATTAATTGCGTCAACCTCTGCTCGCCGGCCTCGCCGAGCTCGCGGACGGGATCCGGATCCCCCCCTCCCCCCTGCCCGCTCGTTACGGCGGAAAGCACGGAAATTTCAATTCACGGAGCGCCGCGCGCGCGCGCGCGGGAGGAAGATCTCGCTCGCCTCGGCGCGCGAAATTGCAATTGCGTCGGCACGAATCTCACCGTGGCGGCCGTATATAATACCGCCGCGTACACGATTAAATGCTCATTGTCGCGAGAACACGGGCGCCGTGCGAACGAACGCGATTGGCCGCGGTCCCGATTCGCCCTCGGCTGACCCCGTTGTTGACTGACCCACTGGCGGATACTGATAGTGCAACAACGCCGCGCGCGCGCGCGCAGTCAGCGCGGAGTCGGCTCGCTTCGGTATTTAATTGCAGCGCGTCGCGAGCGAGAGAGAGAGAGGGAGGGAGAAAAAGAAAGAAAGAGAGAAAGAAAGAAAGGAAGAAAGGCACCTCGCGCGAATGATAACGGTATATTTCGGCCGATGGAGATTATCTGTTTCGCCTTTTTTCTCCTTCTGTTCTTTTCCTCCTTTCTCGAGCGCCACGGCTCGAGAACTATTTCGAGATCGCGCTGGCTAAAGTTGCGCTCGCCGAAGGATGATTAATATCCCGCTGGAATGTAACGCCGCATTCTCATGCAAAGCCGTGAGCAAATTTGCAAAACAGATCCTATTAATGGCGATTTCGGCGCAATGGCTCGGCCGACCGCACGATCGAATATGCAACGAGCGCGCGCGATGCGAGTATCAATCAAATTATTACGCCGACTTGGCTCGCGTGACCACCGTAGGACACAATAGCATGCAATTCGCCGCCGCGGTTATCATGTCCTTTCCCGCTCTCCCTTCCCTGCTCTCTCACTCTCTCTCTCTCTCTCTCTCTCTCTCATTCCTTCTGCTCGAAAAATCTTGAATCCGACATTTATTTGCACACCACTCGGGGCTCGTGCGCCAACGTTTCGTCCTCTCCCTCCCTTGCCCTTTTTGAATTTGCAGATACGCGTGCGAAAAATCGAGGATCTTGTCAATGTCCAGCTCCGTGTCCAGCGACGGGTAGCCCACTTTTCCCCGGCGCTCGCGAGGTCGGCCACCCTCGCGAGGTGCGAGACCGCAGGAGCCGCGAAGGCCCAGAAACGCATCCAGCGACCGCAGCCGCACGTATCCCACCTGGGCGAACCGCCGACCCGATCCGATCCGATCCGCGTCGGCTCGATTTTACACGGATCTCCGGGGCCGCGACGCGCGCACGTGTGCGTACGTGCGTGTGTTGTAGCCGCGTTGTTGCGAAAGAATTATGCGGGGCACAAGGTCCGGCCGCTCGCTCGCCTGTCGAATTTTTACCGAGCGAAGGTTACGTTTCGCAGCTAGGTCTCCCCGTTCGTGCGCACACAATGCTCCTCCCCCCCCCCCTCTCTCTCTCTCTCTCTCTCTCTTTCACCGCGCACTCGACCCTTTCGCCCTCCTTCGTTCTCCCTCTTTGACGCGGACTTTGCGATCCGTGAGTCACAGCCGTGCGGAAAAGTCGAGAGAGAAGGAGAGGTGGAGATAAAGAGGTCCGGAGCTGGGGGGATGGATCTTAGCGGGCGAATTCGCAGACACGTGTGCGAAAATGTATTGTTTCAGCGCAGTCGTCAGCCTTTACCCTGACGTTGAAAAAAGTGGTCACCCCTCGCGATCGACGCAGGCGAGTCTCCAACGTTCATGTCCCACTTTGACCGGACGGAGCTGAAGGAAGTCTCCCGACGAAATCCCGATGCATTTCTTTTCTCGTCGCTTCGCACTTTGTTCAATTCAATATCACGCGCCTTGTGCTCTCTCGCGGGTACTCGTGCTTTCAATGAGAGCACCGGCACTTTCGCGAGTCAGCCGGATCCAGCGTGAATAGTCTCAATTTCTGTCGCCCTCATCCCCTCCTGCGGGCAAGGTGATGGATGATGGTGGCGACGAAGACGACGAAGACGGCGACCCCGACGACGACGACGACGACGACGACGACGACGACGACGACGACGACGTTGACGACAAACGACCGGCACGACGCGGAGGAAGAAGAAGAAAAGAGAGACGAGTGTTCGGTGAAGCCTACCGACCGGCTATTTGGAACACGGCCGATCAGTTCCTTCGGCGCCTTCGCACCGTGGACGCGGACACGCTAACGTACTTTGTCGCCGATTTCGAAGCCGCGCTTCTCCCGTGTGGCCGAGGCTATATAAAGAGGCGCCGAAGAAAAGTCGAAGCGCGACGAGTGTGTTTTTCGGGCTTCTCGCGAAATTGCCGCCAAACCTTGTGTAAAAATCGTCTGCGAAGAGGCGGATACACGCTCGATCCTCGGAGGATGCTCCGTCCGACGATTCGGGGTGGTTCATGCTAGAGCTCGGGGATGATCGGTTCTTCTCGTTGAAAAAACCCGCCGGCGATACTAGTAAGTTTTTTCGCCGATGCTGAGAGAGAGGAGAGAGAGAGGAGAGAGGAGAGGAGAGAGAGAGAGAGGAGAGAGAGAGAGAGGAGAGAGAGAGAGAGAGAGAGAGAGAGAGAGAGAGAGAGAGAGAGAGAGAGAGAGAGAGAGAGAGAGAGAGAGAGAGAGAGAGAGAGAGAGAGAGAGAGAGAGAGAGAGAGAGAGAGAGAGAGAGAGAGAGAGAGAGAGAGAGAGAGAGAGAGAGAGAGAGAGAGAGAGAGAGAGAGAGAGAGAGAGAGAGAGAGAGAGAGAGAGAGAGAGAGGGTGGGAGAGGAGGAATCGCGAGGATGTGGTTTTGCGTTTTGACTTGCTGAACGTGCAAGTGAGAATCGAGAACACCACGTGTGAAATGAAAGTGTGTCAGAAAGCGCCGATTGAATTTTTCGTCACTGCGTGATAGCACACTGCGCAGTCTCGCGAGACACATTTTTCTTTCTTCCTCCCGTCTGACGGATCGTGTCTTTCGGAAAAAGAGTTTGGACATTCGAGATATAATAAAAATGTTGCAGATGTGTTCAATCGTGCACGCGACATGCGCGATTAATCTTGCTCGCGTTTTATTTTCACATAGTCTTTTCTTCGCAATTAACTAGGTTTCTTCATAGAATCCGTTTGAACAGGCCAGCCAAGGAAGTTACGGAGTTTCGCCTTTTTCCGGTAGGGTCACCGGTACGAAGGCTCGCCATATATCGCCATTAGTATAATTAACCCAGATTTTCCCGGATTTATGGTGAACGGCACGCGGGTCAGAGCCGCGAGTTGCACATTATAACAGACTGCTGGCGTGCCTTCAGCGGCGAAGAAATGGCAAAAAGTCGCCTATGCTGCAATTGTGCGATATTACCCAACTGTAATTAATATCTGTCGTGTATAATTAATAACAGCACGCAGCTCGCGCTCCGTCGAGTTACATCCAGATTAGCAAAGAGGCTCCAGTTGCGGAGGAACTCAATTGTACAAGTCAATCCAACGCGGACGCGGTCTTTGAGACGCTGCAACGACGCCGTAATTAATTATAGCCGACCGCTAATTACGTCCGTCGATCGGCCGAGTCGTTTCCGAGTAATCGCCCGAGTTGACCAGAGATCAAAGTAAAAGAACGCGAGAATTTCATCCCCGAGCGAGGTCAAGCGAGGTCAAGCGAGTCGAAAATTATCTGTGAAAATCGCATTAAGCGGACGCGCGCGAAACGCAAAGTCGTAAATTTCGTCTCGGAAAGAAAACGTCAACGTATACGCGCACATGACGCGGCACTTGATACATTAACCGACACACTGAGACGTTATGTCCGGTATTACGGACGACACTTATGACCGTCAAAGACGGTTTTATGCTTTCCTTCCGTTCACCTATTCAAGTCGCTTTGACCTCTGCATTCGCTCGCGGTACACGCGGTGCATACACTATGTGCTACTTTTTCTCTTCAGCGCGCAAAACTACGCCGCCCCTCTCTGGATTACTTCCGAAACACTGCCACTAAACACAGCGACCGACAAAATAACTCTGAAAGCAGGTTTACGATTATCGCGGGATTGCTATTCGTTTAGGACGGCTTTGCGACGATAGCGCGGGATACCAGCAGCGGTGGCATTATGTCGGAGGGTTGCACGAGTTGCAGAGGGGCGAATTACGCGGGCGGCACTTTGCAGTTGGGCACGACTTCCGGTGGCAACACCGGAAGCTCGTCGTCCGCTCCTGGAACGACCTGTACGACCACGACGAGAAGGGTTCAGGTGCGTGCCAAGGTGCTCTACGGCACCGGCAAGGCGATAGCGAGCTTACAAGCGCAGGAGAAAGCCGCCCGCCACTGACGAGGTAAATTGATAACCGTAACTACAACGCGCCAAGTGAATCATCAGCCGACGACGATGTAACGATGTTTGTTGCGAGTCGCGCGGCAACTTTAAGAGCCAACGGAACTTGTCGCGCGCGGGCGCGCGCGGATGGACAGTCGAACGGCCGAACCGAGTTCCCGACGGAAAGTGGAACGAGCGCGAGCTTATCGGGCCACCGACAATTAAAGGCCAACGACCAGCCCGCGAGAGGAGACATCGATCCGCGGCATCGACGCGCTAATCAACATAATCCGTTCCTTCCGACTCGTCTAACGCCGTTTACCGACCGCTCTCCTCCCCTCTCTCCCTCTCTCTTTCTCTCTCTCTCTCTCTCTCTCTCTCTCTCTCTCTCTCTCTCTCTCTCTCTCTCTCTCTCTCTCTCTTCAATATCCGAGAAACCGTAAACGCTGCCGGACAATTACAAGGAGCCCGGTTTCCCGTCATCCTGCCGCGACGTTTGGACGACAGGACAGGAACAGGACCGAACGGGACAGGACGGAGGTCGAGCTCGTAAAGCTAGCGGCCAGTCGAAATCGCGGGATGACGCGACGAAGCGGAATAACAGTAAAAATGTGGAGAAAAACGACGACGACGTCGGCGAGTAAAAAATAAAGCCCGCCGCCCGGAGGCAGCGTCCTTCCTCGAGGATAAGACCAGTCGGCCGATCTGGTCGCCGGTTAGTACCTGGTTAACCGTCCTCGAGAAGGCCGCCTCGATTCTCCGACGAGCCCCACGCGCTCTTCTTCTCTTGTTCTTTTCCTTTTTTCGCCGCTCGCGCTCGTTCCTTTTGCGCTTCTCGATCTCGATCTTCCTCTTCCGCGTCCGACACGACAATTTCACCTGCGCGCGTGTTTCATCTCGCGCCGACGAATATGCACCGACGAGTGCTGTGAGTGTAACCAACGACGCGCCGCAATCAGCAAAATGCACCTTGCCACCTTGTGAGTCGACATATCGGCAGTTGCCGTCTCCTCGTAAATCCTTGCAGTCGCGAGCGTCGTGGACGAACCGCGTGACTCGAAACGTATCGTTTGGCGTGCGCGATGAAAAATCGCAAGGTAATGTTTGCCGATAACGTTTACGAATCTGTACGGAGACTTGGAATTAATCGGTAACGCGTTTAGGAGTTTCTTTATATCAGTTAAAATTTGCCTGAAGATTTTCGTCGAGTAGAGCCGACGCTGTGGCCAAAGTGCACCGAGTACACCTTTATCCAACGCGATCATATCGGTACTCTCGGTACGCGTGATCGTTATTAAAATTCCACGGGATTTCCCTAGAAACTTTACAAGGTCAATATGACTTCTTTATTCCACCGTGCCTCCGACGTTCCACAAACCGTGGTCCCGTTACGTCTCTCTCTCTCTCTCTCTCTCTCTCTCTCTCTTTCTCTCTTCCTCTCTCTTTCGATCCTAACGCCACCGTGCCGGCAGCTTCATTTGGCGAATGTTTCGGCCCGTGTGTGACCCCGGCCTTTCTTTTTATCACTTTGATATCTCGCACTGTTGGACTCGCACGGGTCATCGACCGTTCTTAATTCGCTCCGCCCGGACCGTTTGGTTCAATTCGAAAATGCATCCACGCCGCGGTATCGACCGCGTGAGAGACATTTTCACACGGCGCGTGAAATATCACGACTTTTATGCACGCAACGGTATAATTACTTTTTAATGTCACGACACCGTGGCATTCAATTTATGCGACGACGATGCATTCTTGTGAAGCGACGGTATCATCGCCATAGCGAGTAATACTCGCCATTATTTCACGAGAGAGAGAGAGAGAGAGAGAGAGAGAGAGAGAAAAGACAGAGAGCGCGGGACTTGAATGCTTACTGGAAATATTACAATGCGTAATAGAAAAGGCGCGGGGGAAGAGAAAGCACTGGCGCGTAACGCGATCAACGGCTATTGGCAAGACTTTGCCAGCGTGAATGAAACTCGTATTTGATCAGCTGCGGATTGGTTCGCGATAAGGTCAATGTCGTGGATGGAAGAGAGAACGTTAAATAAGCATCCGTCAAGTAACCGCGTGTGTGCACAAGCGGTATCGAAACGCGGCGAACCGGATTGTTGTATATTGCATATCGTAAAGTGGGATATAAAAAAATGGCGGCGGTGAAATATAATCGCCGGACAGACGTGGAGATCTTGGCGCGACCATTCCCGGCTTATCGAACGTCTGTCACACGGTGCGATTTTGACGCATCACGATATAGCGAGCAATTTTTATCTCATTTGTCAGCGTCGTCTTCTCCCTCCTCTCGTGCCCCGCGTTGTCATCGAAGCCAGGGAACGAAAACGGCAAAGGGGAGTCGTCCCACGTCAAAACTCAAACGTCGAGTCTCCAAGTTACAATTTCCGGCAAGATCGAGCGATCGCTTTCCGCGTCAACGGACACTACAAGGAAAGGAGTAAATATTTCATCAGACTACAATCCCTTAAGCCGAAGTATCCAGGAAACCAAGGCAAATAACAACGCTACGTATCCTGTCGAAGCAACGCGACCGAGGTACGTGCACGAGTCGGCCGCGAGAGAGACAGAGGCAGCAACGGATGTAATACAGCCGGAAGACTCTGGCGGAATCACGTACGTTGCCGCGAAAGGGTCGAAGCAGACACGAAATGGAATCCGACATGAATTTTTGAACGTATCGCGTATCTCTGAAAGCTCTGCCGTAACGAGTGCAGTCGAAGTAGAAAAGGAGGACAAAGTGGGAAATGAGAAAAGTCAAGAGACGGAAAAGAAGCTCGCGAGCCGAGAGGAGCTTTTCGCGAGAGTATCGCTGAGAAACGCGACGAGACCGACGACGCCGACTAACGCGAAGAGCAACGCGCCGCGCGAAAGCGCGTTCGTCGAGGAGCCCGGAGAGAGTCCGAGCCGACTAACCGACGCAACCGTGGGTCTACACGAGTCCGCTGGTCTGGCATCTGGAAGTTATGGGGTGGAGAGTCGCACCAACTACGAAGGAGAGTGGCAACCCGGAGAGGACGATCTCATGGAGGCTGCGAATTTCGGCCTGCGAGCCATGCACAACCTCTATTACGTCCAGGAGCCTAAACTGTACTCGATGGGTAAGCATTGAACGAGAGAAGGCGAGAGTCGATTCATCGCCAAGGACACTTTACCTAGAGTCAAACTATCGTTACTCGCATCCACGAGGAGGCATCCTCATGATACGAAACACGAAACAAACACGCAGGTCTTTATCTGAAGAGGGACGAGCCGGCGAGATACGTGGCGGCGTTTAACGACCAGTCGGAGGAGGCGAGAAACTTGGCGAGATTCGGCTACGCGACTCTTCAAGGCACCGCCATGTACATGAAGAAGTAAGTTTGCAGCGGGTCGATGATCGAGCCTGCCCTTTAGCTGTCTCTCCGCCGGAAACTTTGCGTCCATTTCCACTCCACACCCCATGCCCGCTCTCTCCTCAGGTTTCCCGGCGCGCCGTTGGAATTGCCTTTATCCCGGAGCACTCGAAGAACCTCTTTGGAGCAACAATGCCCGCGACGAGGAACACCCCAATGCCCGCCAGCCAGCTTGAGATACAGGACTTCCGACGGCAGCTGCAATAATCTGAGGGATCTCTGGTGGGGCTCCGCCATGTCCACGATGCAGAGGTAAGCAACACGACGACGACGAAACCCGAGACCCGGTCGACGTCGCAACGTCGAGAGCGAGCTTTCCGTCGCATATCTCGCATACGAGAACAATTCTGGACTCAGCTCGCCGTAGGTTTCTGCCGGCGATATATCACGACGGTGTTCAGAGCGTGCGAAGGTCGACGAGCGGAAGGCCGCTCCCGAGTCCGCGAGACATCAGCGGCTTGATCCACGAGGATCAAGACATACCTCTCGCTTCCGTTACACACATGCTGATGCAGTGGGGGCAGTTTGTGGATCACGATTTGACAGGTGTGTTATTAGGGGGCTCATTTCCTTTCTTTTCAGCTCGCACGCAAACCTTGGAGACACTGTGTAATTATATTTACTGCATCGACAGCGACCGGACAGAGCAGGGGGTTCAACGGCACAGTGCCGCAGTGTTGCTTGCCAGGTGGCGCCGGCTTCCAACCACCAGAGTTTATGGTAATCAGCGAGACGACCAATTGTTTAACATACATTTCATTTCTAAAAGGACCATCTCCTTCTCCCTCTCTCTCTCTCTCACTCTCTCTCTCTCTCTCTCTCTACATCTTCCGTGTTGACATAAGCGACGAGTTAAATCGCGAATTCACGGACCGCGACTTTCGACCTACTTTTCGCACCGGAAAAAGTTTGGCGTTCTTTAAGTCTTGACGTTTCCCGTGAGACGACTCGAAGCGCGGCGCTGTACTTATAATGAATGTCGACAGCACCCGGAGTGCTTGCCGATCGCGGTGAGTCTACGCGACAGCTTCTACGGTCCCCTAGGCGTGAGATGCCTGGAGTTCCTCAGAAGCGGGCCGGCCCCAAAGGAGGGTTGCGAATTCGGCCCGAGGGAGCAGCTGTCTCAGGTGACCAGTTACTTAGACGCCTCGATGGTTTACAGCAGCAACGCCCTGCAGAGCGACAGTCTGAGGCTATTTCGCAGCGGTGAGTGCTTCCTCTCCCTGTCTCTAACGGACGATTTCTCGAAACAGATCGACGCGAGAGAAACGGAAGCAATTTCCGCCGCGATTCCGCCGCGAATCCGCGCTTTCAAACGCACCCTCTCTGCCGAGCACAGGCTTGCTGCAGTACGGAAGGATTCAGTCGCTCCGCAGACCTCCGCTGCCGAAACGCGAGTCCGATCTGTGCAAACTCGGCTCCCTGTCGACGACTTGTTTCCGAGCCGGCGACGGGCGACTCAGCGAACAACCGGCCCTCACGTCCTTGCACGTGGTCTTCCTGAGGCTGCACAACAGGATAGCCACGGAGCTGTCCGCGCTCAACTCCCACTGGAGCGACGAGAAACTTTTTCAAGAGACGCGAAGGATCGTCGGCGCCGTGGTTCAGCACATAACTTATCGAGAGTTCTTGCCGATCATTCTCGGTGAGCGAAAACCTACCCTACCTCTCACGGTATTCATTGTTCGCGGCGGTAGCCGTGATCGTCAATATAAATAATCGCGTCGTAAATATCGAGAAGAGCCGAGCATTCTGCGGGCTAAGAGCGCCAACTGCGAGGTGTTACGTGTTCCAGGTCCCCAGGTGATGAGAATCTTCGACCTGGAGGTCCTGAAAAAAGGCTACTACGAGGGCTACGACTCAACCGTAAATCCCAACATCGCGAACGCCTTTTCCACGGCGGCTTATCGATTCGGCCACTCGCTAGTTCAGCGAAGTTTCGTGAGATTCGACAGCGATCACAGGCCTTTGTTTAACAGTGAGTTATTATTTATACTATCTTTTCAGAGTCCAGTAGCCGGCGCTCTTTTATCCCAAACATTAAAGTGTCTGGGTATTTGTCGATAATTATTGATCAGTGAAAACTTTGGCAACGAGCGCAAAGAGGGCCGGCTACCGAGCGCTTGGTCTCATTTGCGAATATCGTCGTAGATGTCTCGATCCACGACGAGTTCAGGAACCCGGTGAACCTCGAGACTGCGGGCTCGGTCGACCGTCTCGTCCTGGGCCTGGCGAATCAGCCGTGTCAACGGAGGGACGAATTCATAACCGAGGAGGTGACGAATCACCTCTTCCAGACTCCCGGCTTCGCGTTCGGCATGGACCTGGCCTCTCTCAATATTCAGAGAGGTCGGGATCACGGTCTGCCGCCTTACGTGCGATGGCGCGAGCCCTGCGGCTTGTCGCCGATAAGAACCTTCGAGGATCTCGACAGAGTGATGTCGCCGAGCACCATGGCGAAATTCCGATCGCTCTACTCGTCGGTGGAGGACATTGATCTCTTCCCGGCCGGCTTAGCGGAAAGATCGGTGGTCGGCGGCCTGGTCGGCCCTACTTTCGCCTGCATAATCGGCCAGCAATTCAGCAATCTGCGACGCGGAGACCGATTCTGGTACGAGAACCCCGAAAGCGAAAGCAGCTTTACCGCGGGCCAGCTGCAGCAGATTCGACGAGTCACTCTGGCACAGGTGCTGTGCAAGACGTTGGACACCATCGAGACCATACAACCGTTCGTTTTCCTCGCGACCGACACGTTGAAGAACCGACGTCTCTCGTGCGAGGATCCGACTATCGGCCAATTGGACCTCGAGTTTTGGGCCGAACGGTCGTTCAGACACAACGTCGATGACCCGCAAACGAAGACGAAACGAACGGCGAGCGACTCTCTTTCCGTCTCCAGATCGAAGGAGGAGAAGAACACGAATATAAGGAGACAGAGCAATCGGGAGCAGATCACGCTGCCTCAGAAGCCCTTTACGAGCAGCATTCACCAGAGCAACAAAATCGTCGTGAAGAGACCCATCGGGCGACCGGAAAACGTGTCGATTGTGGTGCACAACAACGCCGTCAGTGCGCCCGTCTTCGTCAACGACGGTATCTACGGATCGAACATCAGGATCAGGCAACAGCCTACCGTCAAGCCGACTTCCGCGTTCAACCAAGGTGTGAGTAACTATCCCGTGCATCGACCGCCGACGAAACCTATACCGACGACGATTCCGCACTCGGCTTACCTGTACGTGCCTCAGGCTTACAACGACCCCAACAACCCGAATCCGCTCGTTTATGGTTACAAGTCACCCGTCTCGCAAAGTGCCGTCTTCTACGACAACTATTCCCCCAGCAGCCCCAGGCCCACTCTGTACACTTATTACACGAACTTTCAGCAGAAACCGACCACTCAGACGCCGAATCACGAGGTCGATGGTTACTTGCTCAACTACGGATCCCCGCATCACGAGCAAGACTCGTTCCCGGCGCATCACGCGTACGACAGACCAAAGCCTGGCCAAGTAGCGAACTCGGGACACCCTTACGAGCCGAATACTGAACAGAGGCCGCCGCAAAAACCGAGTTCTAAACCGAGCTACGAATCCTCGAACGACGAATCGTATCACAAACCAGGTTACAGCGGACTGAAGCCCCCGACGATCTCGCGGCCGAGTTTCGGCTCGAACGACCAGCCGTATCACGGGCAAAATTCGGATTATCTACCTAGTAGACCTAGACCGACTTCGGCGAGCGCGTCGCGACCGAGCGACCAGTCGTACGATACGCAGAACGGCCGACCGAGCGAGGATTATAGCGCTAATTCGAACCAACCGCAACGTCAAGATCAGTGGAACTTGAACGGCCACCACAAGAGACCGTACGATTACGACGATCCTGACGCGTATCAGAAGAGACCCAAGCCTCAAAGTGGACCCTACGCAAACTCTGGAACGAACATCCCTTCCCATCCCCAAGAAGACGCGGCGCCGAGCAACTCGTACTGGCAAGGATCGACTTTGAGCAACAACTACGGCAAGTACCCCGATGCTACTTTGACTTATCAAAGCAGCACTCCGGCTCAGAACGAGCCTTTCGAGTCGCATAGCTCCTCGTTCTATCAGAAACCGACGACGAGTCGACCTGTTTATCAGGAAGGTTCTCCAGCACCTTATTCGTCGCCTTATCCAAAAGAATCGATCGACAAACCCCTTCCTGCTGCGAACCTATACGAGGAAACAAACTCTTATAAAAATCCCAATAACCCAAATGAGCAGTCGCCATACAGAGACATTACGCATCAGAGTCGACCAACCCCGACTACGTATTGGTCAGAAGTCTCGACGCTCCAAATGCAAAAGCAAGAGGGATCTCTGAAGCCGAGGCCGATCAAGGTGCAAAGTGTCACGATCGTCACTGAGGCGGTTGAAACCGTTCACCATCCTGGCCACTCCGGATACATATCTCAGTACAAGGTCACCAGCGAGGTCCCAATGCCATTGAAGCAGCAGACGAAGACTACTAATGTGCCGGTGTTAGTCCGGAAACCAGGGCAGTACTATTACGAGAAGAACGTGCTGCATCGATACTCGGGCGAGGGTATGCTCGAGCAAATCCCCAAAAGCAATCATCACTATTCGACGGACGACAACGTCGCCGAGGAGACGCTGGCTCAGGACCGAGGACTGTCGCGCGAGAAGATTGCCGCGGAAGCGACTACCGATGATTCGATCACCAACGTTTCCGTGGCGGATTCGAAAACGACCGAACGCGAGGAAAGTAAATCAACGACCACGATGACGTCCACGCTCGTTACGACCAGCGGTTACGATATTAACGGAGATGACGTGGTGGACGACCTCGAAGGCGCTTTCTCGGCGGTTGTCGGCAACGTTGCATCGCTCGATGTTCCCGACAGGTATTTCTTTTTCTCAATTCTATTTGTACGAGTAGCCGCTCTCTGAGATCGCAAGGTGATTGCGGTCCCAGCGAGTCTTGAGCAATCAATCGAGACGTGTTTCATTAGGAATATCAAACGCGCCATGTGTACCGTCCATGTGTTTCCAACCAAATTACCCCGGTAATATCCCACCTCTCTCGTGACATTTTAAATTAAATCGCTTCCCAAGGCGTTTAAAAGATTCTCATTCATTCGCGTCTCTCTTGGAATACCCACGAAATTATAGATTGCAAGTCATCGTTTGCCCGACAGACCGATCAGCATAAGATTACTCGCTGCCTACTGAGATCATTGGTTTCTTTTTTCTTTCATGTTATAGGATGAGTCATTGGGTGAATACGCAAGAAGACCCGAATTTATCGTCGATGATAGAAATGCCCGGAATTCTGTCCGACGAGTCCGCGAGCGCAGCCAAGGAATTACCCAAGCCCATTAAATCGGGGAGCCACGCTGCTTAAAGTTCCGCGCTTCTTAATTCGTCCTCGGTACTTTTGATTCCCGGATGAAATTGCTGGAAAGTTTTCCAGTCGCCGCCTATACTCTTATCTTTTTACCGAGTACGAGTTGTCGCTGTGCGTCGCGAGAGCGCGGGAATGCAGAATGCACGGCGTAAGCGGAGCATTACGGAGAATTTGTTAATATTTTAAGACTTCGTTCTCTTATTTAAGAACCGTAAGTAAATGCGCATTAACACGCGCTCGCTAAATTATCTTTTATATAGCCAGCTGTATCGAATTGTATCGAGAAACATGCATTTTACATGCGTGTGGGGGGGGGGCTTTTACTTTTACGTAAAACGATGAGTATTTTCACGAGCAATTCATTTTCCGTTATCGATCGTTATCACGCCGCGCGTGATAGATAGATTATAAACGATGACAAATTAATTGAATTGGCGTGATCGTCAAGTGAGATTAAACTACCCATACACTTTGAATTTGGTCAGCTAATTCGGTCACGTGAATAAGTCGGCGCGACACGCATCGAAAACGAAAGAATACTTAATCACATTGTTACGTGCTCAGAGGATGACGTGAAGGTAAGTTGGGGCAGATTTTCACGTCAAGCCGAAAGAGGCATGCGAATACGCCTGGAATTAGCGTGTGCTATTTTTAGATACGGTTTTTCATGGCATTACATTCCTCGTACTTTATGTAACTTTATGCTTCAGCTATCATAAAAAATCACCGCTATCGATTAAGCGTCTCTCTCACCATCGTTAATATTATATTAACGAAATATATTCAGAAGCATGGCACGATTATGTTATCGCAAACATGTTTCATATTTATTTCGTGCTTAGATACGAATTGGAGAATCCACCGAGCAAAATAAAATATATCATGCGAATGGGAGCAGGTAGAGTCGGTTGATAAATGTAGCTCTTATATAACCGATATCTCAAATTAATCACGTTTGCAGACTGATTTATCAACATTCGAACATCTCAACGACGTAGATTTGATCGCTTGTAATTTAAATACAGTATAATGACTGATACGTAATCTATGTACTTACCACACTTAATCAATGTGGTACATCATTTAATCCGTATGTTAAATCGATGTACACACACATTACAGATTAATCGAAGTAAATCGAAATAAAGGAGGAAATAAAGGAGAAATAATGGAATTACGGAGGCATCAAACTGTATTAGACCTTAGAGCAATGTTATTCGCAGATATTCGAGATATAATATTAAAGTTGCTAATGTTGTCGTGAAAAAAGCGTGATTCTTTTTGCGAGGAAAAATAAAAATACGTTGAATCCTAGGAAAATTTTCAGCCTTTAATGTTTATTTACCTCTGATTGATTGATTTATCACCGTTTGATCCATCCGTAATAAATTCAAGAGCCACTGTATTGAAATCTGCCTTCTTTTTCATCAATTTCAAAAACGGATCATAAGTACCAATCCTTTCAAAATGTACACGCGCCACGGGTTTCATTTCGTTCGCCATAAATTTAAAATCGAAATGCATTTTGCCAGCAGAATTTATGGCCAGCAGCGTTGCTCGCGCAAACACCAGATGAGGTTGTTCGGATTTATAGGAATCGGCGAAACTTACTCTTACAGAAAACGGAAGAGAGACGAAAGGAAAAAGTGCAGGCGAAAATTGATTTGTGTATCAGCAGAACGTAAGAAAAAGATCGAAAAATTAGTACGCGGAAAATACTAAGATTTTATCAAGCCGCAGGGTATATTCAGCTGAATCGAAGTATAATCGCGTTTGAAAGAAACGTCCTAATTTCAGTCGAGTTTTACTCTCTTTTCTTTGAGATACTCCGTTCTTCCTGCTTTCAACGGGACCTTTATCTGAGCTCGTCGCAGGTTTTCGGGTCACCGCGGCAAAAGGCAACGGCCCTTGCGTGATAGAAATGCACTTTTCGATGTCGTGAAGTCGTGACCCCGATTTCGCCGCACATTCAGCGCCACTCGAATTCGGCGCGATGAGAAACGATGCGCAGCACTGGGGACTTGGTTGACCAAACAAAATCGCTCTTATCGTGCTCTCAGGATCTAATCGATGGACGACGTGCTCACAACCGACGCGGCCCCAGCGGGCATTTCTTTTATCGCATACACAAAGAGCGATATCAATCGCGTAACATCAATGTTTTTCTCCGACAAATTACCGCTAACAAAAAAAATTATTTCTTTTTATCTCGACTTTATTAATTCTTTATGTTCCTTCTTCTTGTTGCTCGTATCGAAAAATATTAAAATGTCACACGTAAACAAGAGAAGTCTCTTTGTCATAATTCTTATCGAGACAGTATTGAGAATTGTTTTTGACTTTTATTAATCGCAGTCGTCTATTAGCTGTAAGATCTTTTTTGTTCAATTGATTTACTGCAAAAATGATTACTTTTCCAGGGTTGGAGGGCGTTAATATGAATAATGGGTTTGCATCGCGATCGATCGACGAAGAATTCTAAAGCTCTATTTTTCTCCCGCAAAAGAAAGGTAGGCGTTGCACGGAGTCGAGATAAAGTCCCGTTGAATACGAAAGATGAAAGTCTTGAAAAGGAGCGCTCAAATAAACGCGAGCGTCACGGTCATAAAACGCATGACGTAATCGCCTTTGTAAGACGATTCCAGCATTATCGTGCGTGATTCTCACGGTAATCTTTCACGACGATGATCACGGCACGCAACGAGTTCGTCGCTTTCCCTCGACGTCGCTGTTACGCCAAGGAAAACGTAACGCTTATCGCGTAAGAAGCTGCCATTGACACCGTGACAAAGTGTTTTCCACGAGGCGTTGATCGAATATTAAAATTGCACGCTTGCGTACACATGCGTAATACGTTATCACTCACCTCTTACTCCACGTCTTCCGTTCCGTTTACGGTGTCGTCGTATCGGCGGCCTCACGTCGTTCCGGAAAGAAGCATGTCCTTGCGTGGGCGATGTAGCCTGAACCTTCCGGCCATCAGTCGTCAAAAGTGCGCCAACCTCCGTCGTCTCTGTCGTCCCGGACGAAACGCCGAGTGCATTTCCCGTGTCGCCTACGCGGACAAAGAAAATTTTATCAATATATGCCGTTTCGCGATCAATCATTCCCGCGAAATAAGAATTTCATCGTACTATACGATCAACATCGTTGTCCAAGGTCGTGTTTTCCATCGATATAATTACGCCTCTGCTTTTGAGGTTAGTCATCGCCGCGTATCTTTGAACCCGATCGTTCGATAACAACATGTACGTAAAAGTGACGAAATTTTGGTCAATTTCTCACGTTTTTCCTTCGACGGCCATCTTGGCCCCGTTAACGTTCGTGAACAAATTTCGACCTGCACGATCGGACCGCGCGTGAATCAATAACGCGATCGCATAATCCGTGTCTTATCCGAAAGACTGCCAGTCGTCACGTTTGACGACAATTTTCGAGAAACTAAACATTCGATCGCGGTAACGAACTCTCGGTAAAATATTTAGCTCTCCCTCCTCCTGCCATGTTTGTCTCATTCGCGAGTGAGCTTTGAATCTGGCCTACTCGATCGGCCTGTCAGCATAAATCGGCAGAGAGATTGCGATATTCTTACCCGATCCGAATCTGTCACATCACATTTGGCGATGATATTGAACGCATCCCTGGATAATCCTGCGAAAAACATCTTCGTTGACGATAGAAAATGCTGCAAACGCAAGCGCGCGCTTACTTTGTAACCGCCACGGCCGGGAAATGGCGCTAAAATGGCGGAACAGGTGGACACGGACAATCTTGCACGCTCCGCTGTTTCGTTCCCGGTACGGTGGAACGGCCGATAATTAAACGGTGGAAGAAATCTGCCTCGCGTTTCTGCTCATTTAGCTCTGATAGGTGACGCCAGGTGTCATAATAAGAACGTACTGATACTGATCATTAGTATTCGCATAATTAAGCCGTCGCAAGAAAAGAGTACGAGTACATTCTGTTGGCGTTAACCTGCAGCCTTATTGCCGCAAACTTTATTCCGTTTCGAGGCAGCGATTTCGGTTACCTCACCTCTAACCTCATATTCATCTTTGACAATCGATTGGCTGTACGTTTTTCCCAGGTAAGACTGATATTACTCGAATAAAGGATTCAATTAATCTCGGCTGACCGATGGAACTCGCGCGACTGCCGTTTCACACGGAACATGTATCCGCGCGTTTTCGGACGGTCGCCATTTAGAACTTTGGCAAGTTTCAGCCCGAGCGTCATTAATAATACATTACCCTGAATCTTTCAGCCGTCTCGGGGGAGAATCGGTCGAAAACACGGCGTGCTGCATAAAAGGGGACACTCACCTCTCGAACGGATTGCATTCGGCACGACCCTGCAAAGCCAAGCATCGCACTTGCTTACGAAGAAACTGCTGCTCTGATTTGCGTAACATGCAGCGCCCCGTCGCGTCGTGAACGCGCGAAATTCGACGGAAGAGACGGCTGATTGGCGCCGAGCCGGCGGTCCGATTCCGGCGTTCCGTTCCGTCCCGGCGATGACGCTGCGGCGAGAGGGTCGAGCGAGCAGCAGTCGGTAGCGGCGCGTCCCAGGCGCGAGTCGCTGCAATGTATCGTGTGGAATCCCGCAGGCCAACGGCCGACGCCGTCGCGATCCCGGTGCTGCTGCTCCAAGTATGGCTCGTGTCGCTCGTGTTCGTGTGGTGCCCGGTGTTCTGCCAGGAGAGCCTGACGAACCGCATGCGGGCGATCAGCGAGGATCTGGACCGGCAGCTGAACGAGATAATGGCCTCGCAGGCGCTCAGCTACTCGACGGTCAACACCGCCGGGCTGCCCTACAACGCCACCACAAAGTTCAACCCGAAGGGCATGGGCCAGCTGTACAATGTGACGAATATGTTTATCGACCTGGTGCAGAGTAGGCAGGCGTATCCGGCTGGTGAGTGTATCATTCGCTGTCGAGGCATCGTTCGGACGGAGTAACGGAGCGTCCATCTCTCTCTCTCTCTCTCTCTCTCTCTCTCTCTCTCTCTCTCTCTCTCTCTCTCTCGCTCGCTCGCTCGCTCTCCCTTTCTAGCTATCTCCTTTCTCTCTCTTTCTCTCTCTCTCTCTCTCTGTCTCTCTGTCTCTCTGTCTCTCTCTGTCTCTGCCCGTCTCAACCCGTCCGTCGCCGTCTCGCCCACGGCGGAACATCATGGGGTTTTCAGGGTTAGGATATGGCGTGAAGTTTTGCGCCCTGCACGCCACGGTTACGCCCTGCGTACTTACGCACGCACGTAGGTAGGTTTGCGCCACGACTACGTACCGCGTTCGTCGCGAGCGGAACGCGCGTCCGAAAAATGGCGGGTCTCTTGTTGGTAAACAGACGACTCTCTCTCTGTCAAAAACGCGCGAGAGGACGGGGGTCGACCACGGTCGAGGACCACGTTTCGGAGTTTCGATTAAAGCGTAATCAAAGCGTCGAGATCGAAGCATGTAGGACTTGAGCTCTGGAGCTGATCGTCACGGCAGATTTTATCGCTTGCTCGCCCGGACACGGCGGGGTGTAATTATGGTGCGCGGATGCACACGCGTGTCCAAGTGGATTTTCGGCGCACTCGTGGTGATAGCGGCGAACGGAGCGCTTCGGCTGCGTTGAGACGAGACGCGCGCGTCCGATGAGGAAGTTATCGCAGAAATTTAAAAGCGTTTACTGTGAGAGACACACTCGGGCGTGATAATTGACTCGATGTCTGGTGAAACGACCAAGGTCACGCGGGGGATCTCCAATCTCGCTTGGAAAATTATACGTGGTCGACGAATTGCGGGAGATTAGGCTTTCGGAGCGTTCGCTAATAATCTCTGTTACTTGCTTAGGAACGGACGCGTCGGTCGCGTGCGCGAGGTCGACGGATTACGCGCGAAGGTCGCGGAATCGAACGATGTGGAGTCGCATTCGCGTCATTGAACAAAATGCAAGCTGACTCTGCTTTCTAGCGAAAGAGAGACGAGAGACAGAGAGAGAGAGAGAGAGAGAGAGAGAGAGAGAGAGAGAGAGAGAGAGAGAGAGAGAGAGAAAGAGAGATTTGGTCAAATTGGAATCCTCAAGATATATCCGTCTCATCTAGCTCCGAGCTCGTATAATTTGATTAATAATCTAATAGTCCTAATTTCGAGCACATTTTGGCGAATATTTACGATTAAGCGGAAAAAGGCCAGACAGAGCACAAATAACTCACGACAACTTTGGTCCAGCGACGATGGCGTGTTCCTCGCAGATTACATTATTTACGAGACGCAGACAGAGAGGGAGGTGCAGTGAATCAGAATTAGCGCTAACTCAAGTCGCTGCAACT